GATACCTGGATCTCAGACTTCCGGCCTCCAGAACTCTGGCACCACAGCCCAAGCTAACAGCAGCCAACTGACCCCAGGGAAGGGAGTGGGCTGGGGAGTCTCCCATTCAACAGAGCGCAGCCGCCAGTCCAGGGTTTCCAGGACATCTGGAGCCAAGGGCACAGGAAGGAGCAGGGCAGCAAGGAGAGGGGACAGGGCAGGGCGCAGAGATCATGCCAGGCCTATGAAGGTTGCCCCAGAGCCAAAGACTCCACACCCAATCTCCCCAGTGGTCACTCCTAAATGACCCAGCTGATAAGCCAAGATGGACGGGGTGGTAAGTTTTCCCCAATGCCCCTTCTATGTCCCAGGACTCCATCCAGGTCCCACGTGATGCACAGTCAAGTCTCTTCAAGCCCTTCCAGGCAGGGAGGGTCTCTCATGCTGTCTTTGTACTGGGTGAGCCAGCACTTCTGAGGTCTGCGGGTCACTGTGTTCTAGACAGTAATTCTCCAGGGATTTGCCTGGCGTCTTATCATTGGTCCACAGGGATGGGTTTGGGGAAGAAGACCACAGAGAAAACCATCCATATCACAGCAGTCTAAGGCGCCTACTGCCAACTGCTTACTCTTACGCTGACCTTGGTCTGCCAGCTGAGGAGTGTCTGTCCGCGTCTCCACTACAACATTACACACACACACACACACACACACACACACAACACACACAGACACATGCACGCACGTGCTCGCGTACGCGCGGTGCACTTTGGAAGAAAGTCTCCTTGCACAGCCCAAATTAAAGGGTGGCCTATATAAATAATTATTCTACACAGGCAGTGTGTCTCTTCTCCCCCTTTATCAACTGATTCAACCACTGGTTTCTATCCGTATGGACTCAGAATCCACGTTTTACCCTCTGGGGTACAATGCACTTCCACTTTATTCAGTGGCCTGACGATTCTGCTCTGGCCACAGAGTCACCTTGGGTGCCTGAGTTCTTCCCTACCTGCTCCAGGCTTGGTCCTAGCACCGGCCACTGCTCAGGGAGCCCGCGTTCCTCTGTCTACACAGAGGTGTCAGAATCCAGACACCAGCTCAGTGAGGAGTGGCTGCTGCTACAGGGCTTGGTTGCTTCTGGATCCTTCCAGTGTCACAGCAAGGAAACACACGTGCACACTGACCCACGCGCACCTGCACATGTCTGCAGCTGCTGCCACACGTGGCCCTCTCTGTCCAAAGTGGAGGACATGGGTTCACATGAGTATGAACTCCAATCTATCCCTCAATCACCCCAGGGACTGCTCTGACTTGAAGAAATCCCAGTCCCAAGGCATGTTTGACATTAGCCGCTTCCCCACCCCAGGGCTTTCCCGCCTAGGTATTCACCCGGCTCCCCCCCCCCCCCCGCTCCTCACTCAGGTGCTGGCCCAAACCCCAAGAAGAGGTGCCCCAACTCCCTGTGGCAGTGGCAGGCCCTTGCTGCAGCTGTGCTCGCCACTCCCCACCCACCTCTGTCCCTGCACCGGAAGGCAGCCTGAGCAGGGTCGCCTCACCTGCCTCCACAGCCCAACCTTAGGACCCCCTTTCCTCCTGTGCACCACTCAGGGAACTGCCTTGCTCCCAGTTCAGGCTTCCTGCAGCACCCACTACCACCTAACACCCAGCCACAACATCCATGCTGTCCCAGCCTCAGGCTGGCGAGTGCTGCGGGGACAGCCTTTCTCTGTCTTGTGTCCTTGGGCCCCGGCCCTAGGTCACTGGCACATACCAGGCACCCTACACGTGTCCTTTTGAAATGCACGTTTGCACTGAGGCAGGAACGGGGCTTCTGGGCAGAGGCACAGACACATCTCCTAAGCATGTGTTTCCACCAGCGGTCCCCAGGGCCTGTACTCCTGGCTTGGCCCTCCTAGTCCACTTCTCAGATGCCAGCTAAAGGGGTTCTTCTTGCTTTGCTCCCTGACTCCAGACCTTAAAAATGACAGCTGATTTCTGAATTAACAAAAGAACAAGAGAACATGTGTTAATCAATACCCAGCTCCTCTGTCCAAGGTCGGTGCTGACTCTGCTGTGGTAAAGACATGAAAGTCACCCCATTAGGGAGAGACTCACAATGACAGAGTCATTTGCACACCTTCTCCCTTGCAAGGCAATAGGGCTCTCACCCACTGCTTACAAAGACACTTCCTCTCACCCCTCATGAATGCCACTTGGCCTGACATAAAGCAACAAGAGCCCTTTGTATGAGGAGAAGCCATGTTGGAGGTGCACCCGGGAAGGGTCCTGGCTCTCAGGCTGCAGCCTCACTGAGCACTCCTGTCCTTGGATTTGGGGCTGCACCTTGACCTTACGATACAGCAACTATCCAGCAGAGACTCTGCTCAGCTGCAGTCCAGGTAGCCACCATAACATCCCAGCCCAAGGCTGTCCTGCCTCCAATGGGAAGGAGACAGTAGCTCCAAGCCAGCGCCTGGGAGCTGGGGTTGCAGTAAGGACAGGCAAGACTGAGCCAAGTGTGCTGGAGAGAGCCCTGACCAGGCCGCTTGAGCTCCCTGAGCTCCCCTCCAGTGCAGGACAGCAATATCCTGCCTAGGCCCGAGAGGATGCCAGTGCCAGATCCTGTTCTCAGACCCCAAGGAGCAAGTGCAGCTCCGGCCACAACTATATAGGTACAGGATGCGCATGCCTTCAGTTCCAAGCACCACTGCATCGGGCTCCTGACCATCCTACACACGCCCTAACCATTCCCTCAGTGGCTGCTCAAGGCCAAGAGACTTAAGAGAACCGGCCTGGGTCAGGAGGGTGCAGATCGGATCGGCAACACAAACACAATGGAGAGCCTGGCCAAACTGGCAAGGGTAATGCACAGAAGAAAGGAGTGACTCAATGCTGCAGCTGAGCCCAATCGCAAAGGAACAAGTCCAAGATTCTTCCATGTTCGGGGTGGGTCTGGAGGGGTTGGGTGAAGCTGGCAGCTGTGTTCCACAGAGGTCCCTGACGGTGGCTTTGCTGCCAAGGCTCTCCTGGGAGCTGGGGCCACTGTGCCAGCACCAGCTCCTGGGGCGGGCCCTGCCAAGCCCAGAGGGGCTGTCTCTTGGTGCTTCCTTAATCCTATGATAGCGCACCTCATTCATTTGTCTAGTCCAGATACGTGACAGGGTAGGGGCTTCTTAATACCCTTTCACAGACACTTGTCCAAGAGGATGTTAAGCTGTCCCATAAGGGGTTAAAGATTTACTGAAACCTGTAATGGCCCAGCTACTAAACACCCCAGTTTAGGGGAGAATAATCATCCCATTGCTATCCTATGATAACTATGTATTTTTATTGCCAAAAGATGCCATACAATTTCATGGTTACTTGGCCCTGTAAAATGGAAATACCCCCAATTTTTAAGATATAAAAAGGTTTATGACCAGGGTACTGTCAGTTCAAGAATGAGGCCATGGGACAAATGAGTCAATTCATGACAAAAGTTAATTTCAGGGAAATTAACTCAATAAAGAGACTATAATTGTACTCAAAGTTTTAATAACTATTAGGAGTTTTAGGGAAGTGGTGCAGCCTATGGATGAGTCAATTGGTCTTCTAGCTCCTCAAAGTGCAACTGGCTTAATACCTCATTTATTCATAATGGGGATGGTATTACAAGGAACTCTGTGTTTAATAAGGGGGGCCTGGGTATTGAAAGGCCTAACCAATCACAGATATGGAGAGTGTTTGCAATTTACGGGATATTAAGTTTTGTTTCCTGTAATCCTACAGTCAGCTGATCAATCGCTAGACCGATGGCCACTTTAACCAAATAGCCCCAGGTAAGGCTTCAAGTCCTAGCTAATGTTACTGGGCAGAAATTCAGCAGCTGCCAAGTACTTAGGAAGGCAGAACCCACTGACCAGTAATCATTTCTGTGAGCAGCATTAGACTGTACAGGCTGCAAAAAGTCTGAACACACAACTTAGAGCCACAAAATACCCACTGCGGAGCACAGGGCCAGCAAGCAGGGTCAGGAGTAAAGCTCTAGGCTGCTGTTTGAGATGATCCCCTTGGAAACAAGCTCAGAATAAGAGACTTCAGCATGGTGGGCCTGTAGCACCCTGTGCTGTGGAAGGAGCGCAGCATCCAGACCACTGTTCCTCAGAGAGGGGTGCATCGGAAGGACTGCTGAGGCTCTGGCTGCTCTAGCATCTCCTGCCTCCCACCACCATCTTCATGGACGTCCATGCATAAGACCCCAGTGCTGGAGCGAGGCCTGGTACCTGGGATTTACACTGCCACCCCACCCTGGCACCAGTCTCCCCAGGCACTGCCCTTTCCAAAGCCCACAAAGGACTGCGCCTGCCTGAGCAAGGTGCTAAGAGCTTCTCTCTCAAGCAGAGCTCAAGACTCCTACCCCACACAATGGTGCTGCTGTTTGTAAGTGACGACAAAGGCTGGCACCTAAACCCTACAGCATGTGCACAGCTTCTGGAGAAATCTTGAACAAAGTGAAAAGATGCGAGAACAAGCAATAGACACTTGAGAGAACAAAGGCAGTCTGATCCAGAAAACTCAATCTCCTCAAGGAATGAATTTCATCAAAACTAGTGGAGAGTAGAAAATTCCATATTGCAAAGAATCCATCTGTGATTTCTTAAATCTTCACTAAAAGTAACTCAAAACATGGACAATGTGTGAGTCCTGAGTGTGAAGTCTGGGGCAGAAGTAGCTCAAATTTGTGGTGGAGTTACAAGCATTATTCACTCTCCTCCTAGGATCAGGAGCGGAATGTAAACTGCTGCTAAACAATGGGGACTGGGCCACCACACAGGCTGAAATCCAGAGGCAAAGAGAACAACATAAAGTCCTTTTCCCTGTTCCACATCTGGTCACATGACATGGAGACCAGGAACAGGCTTGCAAAGGACCATGTCTAAATTGAGAGGACGCTTTGAAGGTGAAATCAAATGCAGCACAGCAGCAGAGCACAGAGGGCCTTAGGTGGGAGGGCACTCACCTGGCAGGGGGAGGGGCGCTCACCTGGTAGGTGTCCCACAGGCGGATGGTGCAGTGCAGTGGCAGCTCCCGCATCAGCAGATTGTTCATCCAGCGGAAGGCAAACTGCAGGTAGCGCACCTCATGCTGGTCCAGGTGCTGGTGGACAGGTTCTGCACACAGCAAACACAGCCACAGGTGTCAGGGCACCAAGTCACTTGTCCCTGAGGCCCGCTGCCCCCTCAGAACCCCACCCCATCACCAGCGCAGCCCAAGCACAACCCCAGGAAGCAGAGACTGATTCCCTAAAGGAAGGAAGGCTCTCTCCTGTTTAAGGGAATGGGCAATGAGGGGGGGATGGCGATGGTGACGGGCAGGCCTGGAAAAGCCAAGTGTTACAGACAGCGCTCCCAGAAGCAGGAGCCCACATGGGCCGTGTGGCTTCTCTTCGCATCACAGTGCAGTGGGCAGCACCTCAGCAGCCCACACCTGAGATCTCCACCCCTCCCTCAGCCTCCTCCGCGGAGCCCTGGACACCTGCAGAGCCCAGACAGGCCCAGATCCATGCACTCCCACAAGTGCCTTCCAGGGGGCACAGGCTCCGGTGGCCAGGTGACCACACTCCGGCTCCCAGCATTATGCTCGTGCAGGGCCAGGAAGGATGGGTACTGTCACATAAAAACAAGCCAGCGGAGCTTAGGTGATGCAGACCATCAATCCTGATTTGATTTTCAGATCAGGGCCCACTCAGGGCTGCCAGGAGTTCTCTCTGCACACCTCTTGCCTTTAAAGAGCCTTTTGCCCTCCTTCCCTTCCCTCTGTGCCTACTTCCCCACTGGCCAGCCCTGAGAATGGACCCTGAGACGACTTTACAGGGTTCTCCCTGCTCCTGAAGACAATGCCTGCCGGAAATAGCAAATAAACAGGAAAGGTGTCCATGTTCTGCTCTTCACTGCTCTGCTTTACTCAGGTCTCTGGCACCTTACAGTATTTCAGAAATGAGGCTTCCTACCTGTGGAGGGAAGGGGCTGGGAGGACCCTGTCTTGCATCTTACAGACTCGAGAGACTCGGGCAGCAGTGTATGAGGCCTCTCTGAGTCCAAAGCCCCGGTGGCTGGGAGGAGATCCTGCCAACGAGAGAGCAGGCCCCATAGGCCTGGGCCCAGAAAGCAGGGTGGCCACCCAGTAGGGACAAGCTCCCCAGCCCAGCAAGGGGCAGGCCACACCCAGGGTACTGAGCCCAGGAGGGGAATCCTGCACTAGAGGTCCCCGGCTATGGCCCTTGTTCCCTAATTCTCAGCACCTGTACACAGGAGTCTGTCATGTTTGCTTTATTAGAATGTCTGGTGCACACCATGCCAACATGATGATGACTTCCATTATTCCACACAGGCAGAGGTGCAGCGGGTGCTGCTTAGTGGTCCAGCACTTGCCTAGCACGTTCAAGGCCCTGTGTTTGTTCCCCAACACAGAAAAAAGAGTGAGAGAGAATATGAGGATGGGAATAATGTCAAAATTATTTCTGGCCTAAAATTACCTGCGCCTACAAAATGAAACTGATGGCAAGTCCCAAGGGCCCTGAGGTATCTACTACTCAGGCCTGATCTCGCCCAGTTCTCAAGGGCACTGACAGCAGCCCTGGCTTCAACCCAGTTCACTGGGGAGGGAACCTCTGGCCTATGTGAAATGCAAATCTGATGAACACTGGAGAACCAGCAGTTTAGAAAATGACTGAATTTACTGAACAAGGTTGTTTAACACAGAAAAAAAGAGGACCAAGCTTTCATGAATATGCAGTTGGCTGCTCCTGCTCAGGAAGGGCAGGCCAGAATGACTGGGACAACTCCTGAAAGGGAGCAGGTACTGGAGCGCGAGGGGGTGGGCAGTTGTAGCCCAGCAGGTGCGGCCTAGCAGGTAGCCCAGTCTGCGCTCTGTGTGAATATCTGGCTACCGTGAGCCCCAGGCCCATCCTGGCTGTATAGCTCCTCAGCTGCCCGATAGGCATGAGCAGCGTGGGACCAGCACCCAAAGCCTTTCCTGTCACAGCACCAACATAGCATTCCTGGGCAGCCACTTCTTGGACGTCTATCCATACTGCCACAGCAGGACCTTAACCTGGCAGGCAGGACAGGCTCATTTAATGACCCAGACGCAGTGAGGACTCTGCACTTTACTAGTGCAGGTTCATGTGGGTTTGCAACAGGGTACAGACCTCTTTGTGCCACCTTCAGGACACACATGAACACCCACTCCTTCCCCCTATCTGAATGCCAACCCCTTGGTCTGCCATTGAGGAATCAGCCCCTCCCTGGGCTCTGAGCAGGGAGGGCACAGGCTGTGTGACACTGCTAGGTCTTCCCCAATAGACTGAGGCCACCCCGAGAGCAGGACTGTGTTCCCAGGACTGTGTCCCCTCTGAAACTGGAAGTGAACAGGGCCTGGTCCACAGGGAGCACTGACATGTTCATTAAATGAGCAGTCTTTTTTTTTTCTGGTACCGGGGATCCAACTCAGAACCTTGTGCTTGAGAGGCAGGCGAGGTGGCACTGAGCTAAATCCCCAGCCCTCTTTTTTTGATTACGTGGTCTTGCTATGGAGTTCAGGCTGGCCTTGAACTCACAGTGATCCTCTTGCCTCAGCCTCCCAAGTTCTAAATGAGCAGCCTGATGCCAGGGCCAGCCTCTCTCAAGAGACAGGGGACAGGGGACAGGGGGGCAGGGGAGAGCAAGATGCTGCTGGGACATACAAGCTGGAGAGCCGAGGTGCCCAGCCCTACCCACAGTGCCAGCAGCCCACCCACAGAGAAGGTGAGCACCCAGGGAACTGGAAAACAAACAGCTCTAATGTGTGCCCAGGAGGCAGGCAGCGTCTTTTGAGAGCAAACTGGCCAGAAACAACTCTGAAAAATTAAACACATATTTCTGGAACATCTGCCACTGAAGCAACCTAGTGAAACAAAATAAATTGTAACACTTTCTGCCTTGGTTTCAGACCCAAAAGTAGCAGGTACAAAAACAAGCCCTCCACCCTCCTCCATGATGCTGAATGCAGGAGAAGGAGCCCACTCCAGCCAGAGCGCAGTGACTGGCCAGCCAGTACCCAGCTCCTGAGTGGGGGCCATGCACCTCTTACCCAGGCCCTGGGCGCCCTTGCCCCTCACCTGAGGCAACCTGTCCAAAGGAGCACTCAAAGTAACAGCTGAGCTAAGACAGGACCCAGGCTTCCCCTCTGTGACCTCGAAACAGCCACACCCTGTGTCTCTTGGAACCAGTACCTGGACACGGTCATCTTCCTCTGCAGAGCAAAGCGCAGTACACTTCCAGGAGTGCCCAGAAAACCTGACACAGCACAAGCCCCTGCGGACACAGGCCGATCCCTTCTGGGAAGAAGGCTGCTCATTCATCTGGCCTCACAGTGGGACCCGCCAGGGCCCTCCATAGGCCAGGCTGCCCCAGGGAGGACAGGCCCACTCCCTGCTCTCCACGAGCTCAAAACCCTTGAGGACAGGCAGAAAAGACAGGCCAGCCTCGAGCTTCAAGCTCTCTACATCACCGAAGTTGCCAGATATGAGCATCCTGAGCACACAGCCTTCTCTTCTGCCTGACCTGGGGTCTTGAACTCCTGAAAGGAGCTAACAGGCAAAGTCCATGCCCACCATGTGGTGACACCAGCCACAGGCCTAGACCTCCTAGGCCTCAGCACCTGTAGCGGGCACTCTGCTGGTGGCCCAACTCCCAGCCAGGCTAGGCGGGCTGGACGCGAGCCCATGGGACATCTGTCCTGGAGTTAACCGGAACTCGCCCTTGCTCCCGAGGAAGTAACCCATTTTTCACTGGTCTCAGACCTCTCTGGAAGTAGGTAATGAAGAGTGATAAAATGGACCTGCCATCAGCTCTCCAGCCACCCTTTAATGTGCATAATGAATTTCTGGCAGGGCTGCCTCCTGTTTTGAACATGGTGAAAAATGGACTGCTAAACTCCAGGCATGACTTTCAATTTATATACATCACAGCCATGAATGTATATGCTGAAAAGAGTCATTTTTTCTATTTTATAAGTAATTGTAAGCAGATGCTCTTTCACTGATAAAGGTAATTTGGTTAGCAATAATTCTGAAACTGAAATTTCCATTTCACTAGAAATAAGGGTGTGCACATAATGAATGAGCAGGCAGATGTAATTACTATCAGCTTTCAGGCTAAAAAGACTTCTCTCCCAGCTCCCTGTGTGGCAGGGCCAGGCATACTGCAGCAGGTCACCAGGGAGGGTGGGTCCTGTCCAGAAGCAGGAGAGGCAACCTCAGTACTTACTGGCTGAGCACCTTCCTCAGCAACATGCAACCCACAGAAACTTCTCTCCTGGATTAAAAGTGAAGACAACATATGCAAACACTGCCCAGGACTTATGCTAAAATGAAAAGCCATGTATCCATTCACATGGTGCAAACCCTGCTGAGCCACCCAGACACTACTCAGACTTCCGCGCCAAAAAGCAGGTGCCAGCACTCAGGCCAGGACACCTGGCAAAGACCCTGACAGAACCTGGCACTGAGCCAGGGTGGACGGGAACACATCACACCTGTGCTGGGCTGGGCACTCAGAACCTCGATCGGGGCCGACTGCAGTCCTCACACCAGTTAGAAGGATGAAAAACAACACAGTAAGAGCCAACGGACCTGAACACAGGGTATCTTGGCAGCCTCAGCCCATCACTGTTGGATTTGGTGTGTGCCAGCTTCAAACAGCTGGGGAGAGTCTGATCCCAGTCAGAGGCCAGGCCCAACTGTTCTAGTATAAGGCAGGTTAGCTATTTAACTTATGAACAGGCAGCTAAGCAGGGACAGGGCCTAAAATGGGGTGGTCAGCCCCCCATAGGAGTTAAAATAAAAACAGGCAGTAGGACTTTGACTCAGGAGTTCTTCCAGCAAAATGGAATACAATCCCTCCCTACACCCAGGGCTGAGTTTCCTTTGAGGAACTTAAAAATGCAGAGTAGTTAGTTTTCTTTTAGACTTGGTTTCCTTTAAACCCTGCATGCTGAGTAACTGGTTTAGAGCCTGGGTCCCAATTGGTCATCTTTAAGCCACAAAGCCACCTGTGACCAGTGACCACTGGACAACTGAGCAAATTCCAGCACTCTGCTTATCCACTAAAGATCCTGGACAGAGCCCATG